GGAGGCATGGGGGCCATGTGCCCTCCACAGGGCAGAGGAGGGCTGCTGGCTGTGGGCTCGGGCCCTGTGCCCTGCTGCCTTTGCCCCAGGAGCTCAGCCACGTAACACCATTGTCACTCGCTAGGCAAGCGGGGGACACAGGATGCGCTAACTTCATGGCATGTCCCCTGCCCACCTGGTGGCAGGAAGCACACTGGCATCATGTGGCTGAGCTCCCGGGGCAAAGGCAGCAGGGCACAGAGCCCCAAGCCCTCAGCAGGCAGTCTGTTTCTGCCCCATGGGGAGCATGTGCCACCCATACCTCTCCAGGGGTGCATGCTGCTGTGGGGAGTCACACCCCCCACACCTCTGGACAACCCGCCCTGGCCCCAGGACCCCATTCACCCCAGCCCCTGCTCCTGCTTCACTCCCTCCCTCACCATGGGGGCTTTGATCGGCCAGGCTCAATCCAGTAGGCATTCTCAGGGCACCCCAAATGGGTCTGGCCCCACACAAAACTTGGGTAATGACGGTGTTGTAAAATCCGTTTATCTGTTGTAGTATTTCTGGCATGTATCTGGGAAAGGGCAGGTTCAATTCTTTCCCCTGTCTCAGGGAATTTAAGCTTTTGTGTCCTGTATAAAAACTCTAGTAACTTGGCTATTCTGGGAGGGTTATTTGAGTCTTTTATTATGAACCTTGTCCACTTTTTGTGGAACAAAGGAAAATTCACTGTGGGAAGAAGAGGGAAGGGGAAAAGGGAGAGAAATGTGGTGGTTAAGGGAGAGAACAGTGCCTGTTCCAACTTGTTCTTGAACATGTATACTGATCCTCCCTCTAGCTGAGGACGGCAGAACCCAATGCCTTCTGGAGACCATCTGTGCTGATCCAGTTCTTCAACTAAATATAGCTTTCCAAAATTATGGGAGATTTCCACCTCTGTTTCCCTGGAGCAGAACTGATTGTCTCTTCAGTTCTCATAAGAAAGGAAAAGTATTCTCTTTCCTTCTGTAGTACTTCAACATGTAACTGTTCTGAAATTTTTTCTTTGTTTCTGTACACAAATCATCACCTTCATTCAAGCACCATGTAAGATTGAGGGCAGATATAATTTAAAAGGAACGGGTCCGCAGTCTTAGAGAATCAGTATTATGTTTGGTCTCTTCAGAGCTGATTGCAGGTGTTGCTCGACAAAGGAAGGTCAAGCATTTCAAGAGCTTTAAGCCTTGACTGTACTAGGAAAACTTTGCAATATTTCCTGCTATTGCTAACAGCAGTCTGTCTGCTCAGCATAAACAGGCTGCCAATGTTTTAACTATTCTGTTGTATGTTCAGAGCAGATCAAATCAACACTGTGCTTAAAATGCCAGTAGCAATTAGTGGCCTGTTTACACTATAACTCCCAACTTCGCTAGTAGGAGATCTAAACCAGTCAACACTTTAGCATACTGCCATATGCTGATATCCATGTAACCCAAGAACATGGTGTTAGACAAAGCAATAATTACAGGTCATTCTGTTTTACTGAGCTATAAGGCCAAATAATCAACTCAAATAAATAAAGCTAGCTCCATAGACTTTGTAGCTTTATGCCTATTAAGAATTTGGCCCTCAAAATGCAATTACAATATTTTAATATAGATATTATATATGATAATTTAAATCTTCTTGATGCATAACAGCCTCGCACTAAACCAGATTTTTATTGTAAGTTTGTTTATTGTAACCAGATTTTTATTTTAAGTCATCTTTTGTTCTTCTAAATGTAACTTGTGGATAGACATAGTTGCACTGCAAAATGTAACCAAATATTTCTGAGTTATGGGAGTAGGATGATATTTGGTGTAAAGCAACTGAAAATCTTTAACACTTATGCCTTCTCTGAAATGAAGAATACCTACAGGGTTAGTACACAGCATGATGTTTTAAGCAGTGGTTTGTAGGGGGGTGTTTTTATGGGACTCTAGAGCTAGATGCTCAAAAAGCCCAAGGCTGAATTGATTCAATCTTCACAAGTTAGTCTAAGCTGCATGAATTGAACCAATAAGCAAGTGAACCAGACAGTTTGGGCCAAGGCTAGCCCACCCACACTGTGGAGGAGTGGGGTGGGTTATGTGGGAGGTGCAAAGCATCCTGGAATGCTGGGGGACTGGGGAGTTAGCTTGAATCCGGAGGGGTTCTGGGACAGAAGTACAATAAACCAATTTAACCTAAATCAATTAAACCTGGATGGATGTAGTATCAGACTTATCTTAAACTGGTTTTGACCATTTTGAAAGGGGTCTATGTGGACTGAACTTCTGTTGTGTTGCAGATTTGAACCAGTTTCCAATTACTTACACCAGTTGATGTGTAATTTCTGCCCTTAGCTTGACTGTGCTTTTTGTTATAAATCTTTACTCACTTTGTTTTTGTTTTTAACGTAAGAAGTACCATACTAGGTCTGACAAATGGTCCATCTAGCCCAGTATCCAGTCTCTGACAGTGACAAACAGTCGGTGCTTGACAGGGAAAGTGAGTGTGTATAGGATATGTCTGATGTAATCGATCCACTGTTGTACTCTTCCCGGCATCCACTATCATTGGTTCAAGGCGTTTAGAGGATACTGCTCTATTTAGTAGGTATCAGTGGGCCTGTTCCTCACATGGATTAGTCTAATCACTTTTGAACCTGGTTATACTATCTGCTTTTACAATCTCCTGTAGCAGCTAGTTCCACAAGTTAACTAGGTGCTATAAGAAGTATTTCATTTTGCTTGTTTTAACCCTGTTGCCTATTAATTCAGGTAGGTACTTCCTAGTTATTGTATTCTTGGACTTGGCGTATAACAGTCCTCTAATTACTTTATTGAACTCTGCCATATTCCCCTATGGGCTTTTCTTTTCCAAACTGGAGTCCTAGGATTTCTAGGCCAGAAATAACTGTTGCCAAATGAAGCAGATCTGCTGTGCCCTAATGTGTCTTAAGCCTCCAGGACACCTGCCCAGGGTGGCAGGAGAGTACAAGCAGCTCAGGCTGCTTGTTCCCTTCTGCCACATTATTGTGGCAGAGGTCTATTACCACCTTTTATTGCACCATGGATTTTTCTTTTTGTTCATCAAAGGGTGTTGATATCTATTTGCTCAGCATTTGTGCCGCCATAAAAAATTTTATGGTGGCAGAAATAAGATGTCAGGTGATGTCTGTTTCCACTTTTGTCTCTCCTGGTATGACACTAGCTAAATACTTCCCTGCCTCTGCCGCTGAAGGTCAATGTTTGAAGCTCTTTCCATATATTCACACCTTCTTAGCTTCACGTCAATAGCACTTTGTTATGGAATTTTTAGGGTCCCTTTTAAAGACAGCATGTTGCACTTCTATTCATGATTACCACATGCAATTCTTGGATAAAATCAAAATGAACTGTGAATAGTGTTTTATTGTCAGGTTTTAAGATGGCTTTACTAATAATAGTGTGTGAAAAGGGCAAAGAAATTTATTTTTGCCCCCTTAAATTGATGTACTATGAAGGTACAAATACTGTAGATTCCTATATTAAAACTTTAAATTTGCAGCTGATGCATTAGACTACCAAATGTGGTATCTTAGTTATCCATTACATTTTATGTTTTTCTAACTGAATTTACTCTAATGATTAAAAACACTAGTGTTCTAAGCATACCTTGTAGAATACTAAAGGAACATTTCATTTCTGGTGACACTCTGGAATACTATTTAAATAGCACCATACAGTATACTTCATAGTTGCAGTCCAGAATTTACCCTCTCTTATGTAGGCAAAAGGAAACAAGGTAATATCTATGGGCCTTGTTACACAGACATTTTAGGTGGCTTCTGGAGCTCTTAACCCCTGGATTGGCTGCACATTAACACTTCAAGTAGCTTAAAGCATTCATTCTTTGGCTTAAATTTATGCCACTCCAATGCAGAATTATCTCTAATCCACCTAATTTTATTCATGTTCCAGTAAGGTGTGGCTATTTCCCACAGCTATTCCACCCAAGTTGAAGTACTCCAGCATCCCAGAATGCAGTGGGCCTTTCAGAGTCAGGGTGAGTGGGGATGCTGGGGTGCAGTGGGGCCAGGCATGATGCCTTGCTCCCCAGGGATGTTGGGTAGAGTGAGTGCCGCAGCTGTAGAGCACCTGGTGGCCACAGTGCCCTCTACCACCTCTTGGACGACCTTGCTGCTCCTCGTTGGTGGCGGTGTTGGGAGGGTGAGCTCTGGAGAGAAAAGGTTGGGGCCTTTCCAGAGCTTGTCCTCTTACCTAAGGCGCCACCTGAACTCCAAGGTGCCTGATCCTTTTTTTTTTTCTCCAGAGTTCAGGCATCACCCAGCCAACTGGTAGCCTGGCTGGTGGTGGCACAGTGGGGTGCAAGCTCTGGAGAAATAAAGGCTCAAGGCCCTTGGAGCTTAGGTGGTGCAGGGTGTGTGTTTGGGGAGTGGGGTGGTGAGCTCTGGAGGGGCCCGATTCTTTTTTTTTTTCTTCCAGAGCTCACCGGAGCTCCCGGGTTAAAAGGATCGGGTCCCTCGGAGCTCAGATAGCGCCTTGCTGGCTGAGGCATAGAGAGCAAGTTTTAGCAAGACTGGAGCCCCAGGGAACTTGTGGTAGGACCAGAGAAACCCAGAGAAACAACAGACACAGCGGCTCTGCATTGAGAGTGGGGCCAGCAGACTTGAAGCTGCTTCCCTGGGCCTCTCTGGTCTCACTCCAACTGACATGGTGATGGATTGGCTCTGCCTGATGCGAGCAACCCCCTAGGCCCTAGTCCTGCCCCTGCTCACCAAGCTTCTAGTGGCAACTCACAGCTGTGCAGGTGAAGGACAGTCAGAGTAGGTTTTTCACCTTATGGTATACCTGCCCTACTAAGCCAATCAACACTAAGTCAATTAACATTTGCGTGGCTTCCAGCACAAGGTGCAACAATGCCTTATGTCTTGTGAGGTTGTGGGTCCAGGTGACATTAATAGTAGCCTCTCTTCCTTTAATCTATGTAAATATTTTCTTTCCCCCCTTAAGGTGTCAGGAGGACCTACTATCAAGTTTTCACTTGTCCACATGGAATAACTGAAAATAAATGGGAATGGAAAAGATTGTGGAATGGTGGGTTGTGGCCTGGACTGTCAGACCAAATAAAGGAAGTAAGTTGTACTACTTCTAAGGTAGTAGCAGTTTACATTCCTCTCTTTCCAGCCCTCCATCTACACAATCAAATTACTCAGGTAAGCCATCTCTGAGGCAGAAAGCTCCTTAGAGGACCCCTGCAGTCTCCCAGAAGGCTAAAGTCTAGTGCTTTGCAAAATGGGAATAAAACTTGTGCTAAGGACTTTGCTGTCTGCTACAGACAAGCAAACATGAAGTATTTTTGCGGGAAAGAGAACAAATGGAAAAATAATTGGGGTTCGGGGAACTCAGTAAAGGAACAGTATGAAGCAGTAATTGGTGAGGAGATCAGTATAGGAAAGATGCAATGGAGTTAGTGGGTTTTGAGGAGAAATTTGAAAGCAGAGAGGTGTGTTTTGCTGACAGTGAGTGGGAGGCTTCCAAACATAGGAGGCAGCTTTAAAGAAAGTATAAAACTGGGAGCGGGAGAAAGAGAAGAGAAATGATATAAGTAAGTATGAGCTGATAGTGTGGAGGAAGGGGCCACTGGAGTTTTCCTATCTCTTTGCAATGATTTTATTTTGTCTAGTTTCTTATTTTCCTTAGGCAAGGATTTTTCACCCCCTGGGTCATGACCCAAAAGTGGGTTGCAAGAATATATGAAAGGGTCACAACCAAACTTTAAAAATGGATTCTCCTTTAAAAGAGAAAAACATGGGAAACTGTGGCTTTTCCCTTGCAGGCTGGCAGAGCTCCAGCCTGCGAGGGGCTGCTTGAAGCCCCCCTGTACCACACACCTACCCCCTACTCCACATATTGGGGGGCTGGGGCCTGGCAGTAGGGGGCAGCAGGTTGGGAGTGTGAGGCACTGGCAGGGCCAAGGGGCTTATTTCTACTTAAACTATTTACTGGGTTGGGACAGGCCATCAGTGTTTACAACTGGGTCCTGGCACAAAAAAAGTTGAGAACCACTGCCTTAGGCAATCATTTTTCTTTCTCTTGTTACCCGTGGACATGCGTTAAATAATGCTAAATTTTATCCCCATCACTGTAGCTTTGTGTCCTCCCCCTACCCCCATTTGAACAGCACAGCTTAAAGTTGTACTATAGGAGAACTTTTAGGACAGTTTTTCCATCTGGCCATGAAGCCAGAACTAGTAAGATTGAGATCTGAGCCTTGCTCCTCAGTGCTGGATAGCAACTCTTTAAACTGGAAAAAATGCATTGATCTAAGACTTGACTGGATGGGTTTTACATTTTCATTAAATATTGATCCTTAAACATCTTTGTTTACACTACATGCTGCTTCCTTTAGGTCTTCTCAAGAAATGAGGTGGGTTTTTGTATGCTGTGCACCAGTCAGTGTTCCTAAAGATTTTAGTGATGTGTGAGGAGTGGCTTGGCAAGGTTAGCTATACGCATGTGAATGATTTGGTTTTATAGAGAATTTGTGAATGATGGAAAACAGTCCTTTTTCATATCAAATATCCTCTAAATCATATATAATTAAGTAATTAGAGCTATAATGGTACACAAAGTTATTAGCTTAAACAACATAATGGGTCACAGTCAACACAATATTCTGTAAGTAGTAAATTCTTAAAAAGAGATCATCAGGATCTGAATTTTATTATGTGTTGTTCTACTTTATAGATGTTGAATCAATTTTCTAGTAAAATAATGCCCTACTGTTACAAATCTCTGTGTGTATAGTTCTGTGCTTCGGGGACAATGTTTTCAATGTAGTAGTGCATTTATATTTTGTTCAGAGACTGTGGAACTATTGAATCAGTACTATGCAGAAGCTATTAAGACTAGCTGATTAAGATTTTGTTTGTTTAGCAGCAATACTGTCATGTGCTGCTAATTTTTTTAGCATGGCTAGAACCAAAATTACAACCAGGTCCTTAACCCTATGAGTTATTATAGCACTTTAAATGAAATCAGAGTAAGGTATCACCTTTGGTTGTCCATACTGTCAGAGTTCTGATTGTTCATGTGAGTCAGCTTTAAATTTAAGGCTACAAACTCAATTCAAGAGAAATCAGGAAAGTCAGGAGAGACATGGTAGTAAACTTACTTTGTCACTAGGGGAATAGATGTTAGTCATTGAAACTTGCCTAGTGTTGGAATGGGAGGGTAGAGTCACAGCAGGAAAATCTACCAACTGGGCGATGTAAGATGACACGAGAGCACTGTTAGAAGGTATAGAGTAACTTTATCTTATGTCTTCTAACATCCTTCTGTCAGTAGCTTTTCATGCTACAGTTTTGTCCTTCCACTCCCTCAGTATGTAAGTTAACCCCACTTTCACTCATGCTGAACTTGCCCAAGTGTAACTGTCAGCACCAGTAACACCTGTTCTACAGTACCTTCACATCACATACAAGCTGTACCATCTCTCATCTATCCAAGGATTTAGCGAAATTCAGCAAATAAGAAAGCTGGCTGAAACTGGGAAAAGTCTGTGGTGATACAAATTCAGAACAGCTCACAGTCCATCTCTCTAATACTACCCTTAATGAGTGTGTTCACACTCAGTAATGCAATTCTACCTCTGGGTTCTTCCAAGGTCTGAATCTCTTGCTGGACATCCTAAGTCATTGACAGCAGTGCAAAGTGGATGTAAAATGTAACTTGACCACAGAGCCAAGAAGATCCAAGAAGTGGAAATTGCAGTAAGACAAACCCTGACTAGAAAGGAGGAATGCACTTGTAAATAAGTTGTCTTTGCAAAAAAGAAGTAGAAGATTCTCTTTCATTTCAAATCTGTAAAGACTAAATTTTCCCGTAAAATTATGCTGTAGCTTAATCAGAAGTTCTGGGTTTGATGCAAGAATTGCTTGGTAAAACTGCATGGCCTGTATAAGAAGGTTGTCAGATTAGACTATTAGAATTATTCTTTTTTGCCTGAATCTATTAATCTATTTATTTTGCAAGTAAAAACAGTCAACAGAGTGCCTTTCTTACATCACGGTGAAGAAAGTAGTGGGCTTTAAATGCAAATAATGCAGTCTAAGGGAAACTGAATCTCTTCTCTCAGATGTTAATTTGAACTTATTGCATTAGTCATTGTAGTCGTGTAGCTGATACTGGGTGCATCTACACATGAAATTTATTTGATGCAATAAACTCTGGTGCAGTTCGTACCAGAGTTTATTGCTCCTGGTCACAGCATTTACATGTGCTCCCAGGACCACAGCATGTTGACCTGAGGTGCAGCATCTCCAGCTGGCAGGGAGCCCCATGGGTCAGCTTGCTAGCCTGGGGCTGCTCCGACCCATCTCAATGTGCAGTGGAGGGGCTGGCTGTGGCACAAGAGAGCTACAGTGTGGGGCTAGCTGGCAGGCAGCCCCACACGGTGGCACCCACATGCTCCAGCCAGCCTCGGTCAGTGTCTACACATGCATTCCAGCAGAGTAAATAAGTCTGCTGTAGGATAGTACTTGTGTTGGGTAGTACTATCCTACAGGGGAGTTAATTAGTTTACTCCAGCCTAATAGCAATGCACATGTCGACTTATATTTTACTGTGGAGCTAAATAGTCAGCTTTGCAGTAAATGTCTTGTGTAGATGCACCCACTGATGTAGGTGAAAAGAGAATCAGAATGAATAATAATTTTCCATATGTATTTATTTGGCAGTTCAGTAATTTAAATCAGCCATAGAGGTGAGTTGCTATCTCTGATTCACTATGTTTGTCATAGTGATGACTGTATACTGATTGTTTCAAATTTCCATATGCAAGTTTTTTCCATTGTATCTTGTATCTGTGCATAAACATCAAGGATGCAATAAGGAGTTATAAGATGGATTTTGAAACTACATAAAGCTGCCAAGATCAAAAGTGTGTATACAAATGTGACTTCTATTGCTTCATTTGAGGTTGTACTTCCTTTTTCTATTGTCTACAAGCTCTCTGCTGTAATAAAGCACATCCATGTATAAGAGATGGTGCTGTAAACTCCATCACCTCCTTTTGAAAGAAACCCAGCATCTGAAGGCAAACAATGTTGGTAAACCAATATGAGAAAATAAAATAAAATTCTTAATGTATCTGACCATGGCTTGGGTTCTGAGAAGAGGGCACTGACTAGATGTACTTTGACAACTGTTGTTCCCCAAAACACAGAATGGTTCTCTGCAAGAAAACAAACACTCAAAGGTGGCAAATGACAAAACTGAAAAGGAACAAATTGTTCTGTCATTAAAATCAGTGGATTAAGTAAGAATATAGCTAATGCACTGGAGAATACCATAATCACATACTCTTTTTGGGTGGGACAGGTATTTTACAGGCTACATGGGCCAGTTTGTCTCTGCAGCTGTTTATGCTTGGCTTATTTGTGAACTAATGTTGAATGAAAAAAATGTTTAATTAGCAAATCCATAGCATAATATTATGCTATGGATTTGCTAATTAGGCATTTTTTATTCATTAATATTAACATTGTGAAATAGCTATACATGACTTCCTAGAAACTGCAGATCAGCTGCACAATTTTCTATGTGTTTTTCTAAAATGTTAAACAGCATAACTCATTCATTTCTGCAATCAAGTAACAAGTAAGAGTTTAATAATAATCTTTCTTACACTAGTTCAACTCCAGTTTCTGATTTTGACCTGGTAGAAAATAGTATAAAGGTAGTCTCTCTTTCTTTTTTCCACACTCCCCCACACCCCCTCTCCAGCCCATCCAGCTGAAAGCAGGTAGCACCAATTTGCCTCTGATGAGGAAGGAAAATAAAAATAAAAGTGAAGCATTTTCCAGTGACCTAAAATAGCCATAAAATTAACTGATGGGTAAAAATGAGTTTATAGCTGCTTTGCATTGCCAGGGTAGTATAAGGAAGTTAGACTCAAAATAAATAAATGAAGAATTGAAGATAACTTTGACAAGGTCTTGCAATGGATGGAATCTCTGGTCTATCCTACTGTGGGTTTATTACCCTGTTGACAATACATTTTTCAACTCTTAAACTTTCATCCTATCTTACATTTCTGGACAATGTGAAAATAGAGGCCTGATTGTGTGCATTTTTCAAAAGATTCTAAAATTTGTTTAGACTTGGAGAAGAGATGCGTTGGTAGGATGAGAAGAAACAGCGAAATTGAGATTATGACAAAAATAATCTCTGCAGCTGCTACAACTTGTCTGGCTTTGGTTGCTTCTAAGTAACCTCTAATATGGAGCGGTCTTGTTTCTGTCTTGTTAAGTTTTTTTAAATACTATAACAAATTCCCAAGAAGTGAAGGGGGCACATTTGGTGCACATAAGTGAATAGACTCTGTAACCTGTTCAACCTATTCTGGTTAGACATTGTCTACAACCTATAGAGTAGGCTAAATTCAGCATGGTAGAAGGTGAAGCAGCTTCCACTGACTTTAGTGACAATGGCAACTGTTAACATTGGGGTAAAAAAGCAGAGGCATAGCTGGGCAGCTCTGTGCAGCAGTGGCGCACAATGGCAGCAGCTGCAGATGAAAAAACTGTTAAAGGTCTTAGATAAAAGAGCATAAGTATGCTTGGCTACAAGCTTTTGCAGAATAGACCTGTGAATTCTCTCATCTGAAGAAACAAACTTCAGTTCCATCAGTTTATTAGTTAGTTTTAACCATAACTTTCCTGTTTTCTGCAAAGCTAAAAATATAAATGAAGACCTGTCAGCTCCTAAACACCCTTTTGTTGCATGGTTACAAGCTGTAAGCATACAACAGCTATTGCTGCTAATACATTTGTAATAGCATCAACACAGCAAGCTTTATGGGGCTGCCTGTCTATGGGCCTTGCTACACATTAATTTTAGGTGACTCCTGGAGCTCTTAATGTCTGGAATGTCCACACACTAACACCTAAAACATCGTAAGCACACTGTAGGCAGCTTAGAGTTATACAGCTTCAGGGCAGGTTTATCTCTGATCTGTGTTACCCAGCTCGTGTTCCATTGTGTGGCCATTCCCCACAAATGAGTTGCCACAATTGCAATCCTCCAGCATCTCAGGATGCAGTGTCCCTTCTGCCACCCTCCTGTTGTGTGTGGACAAACTTTCCACCCCCTGAACTCTACTGCCCAGGGAGCAGTTCTGGTGGCAAGCCAGCTCCCCTTCCTGCCCTGCGGATGTGACCTTCCCATCTGCAGGTGTGCAACCCTGTTCAAACAGCCCACAGAGCACGGTCACAGCACATGGACAGGTCCAAGAGTGGGGTGGGGGAGGAAATAAGGTAGGGGGCTGGTTTGGGTCCCTGTGAGCTGGGGCCTTCTTCTGAAGGCAGAGGCATTGGCTCCCCCAAAAGTGCCTGCCTTCACTGCTCCCAGCTCCTAGCCACCCCAGGAAGCATGACCAGCACCCCCACACCCCTGTCACAAATCCCAATTTATTAAAACATGAGATTTCTTTAATTTACTTTCTCTTTATTTCTTTTCAAATTCTTTTTTTTAACTTATTTTATCCTTCAGTGGCTGACTTCCTTCATTTCACCACCCTTCCCCTTCCCCATTTCATTATCCAACCCTATCCCATTAACTTTTTGCCTCCCAGCTTCATGTTCCTACCCCCCCACAAATCCCAACCCATTTCTCTCACACCCCACCTAGAGCAAGGATAGATGCCTGTTCTGGCTCACCAGTCCTGCAGTGGCAACTCACCCCATAGTTCCTAGTTGGGCCCCTGTTTGCCAGTCCTCTAAGGGCAAGTCACAGCTGTGTAGGTGGGGGACAGTCAGAGAAGGTTTTTAACCTTTAGGTGCGACTGCTCCAAACTCAAGCTTGCACTAACACGGATCAACATTTGGGCAGCTTAAAGTACCATGTTTAACAAGACCTTACAATACAAGACATTATGTTTGGGTCAACAGATAGTTAATTAAAGCCCCAATTAGTTTTTAAATCGGCATTAGCTGTAATGTGGCCTAAAAGCTTCTGAAAGAATAGTTTGGAATAATAATGATCTAAATTATGTACCTGTAAACAGACATCATTGAATTCAAAGTCCATTTTACTGGATGGTTATGGGATTTGCCTCCAGATTGTTTTGGGGAGGTGTAATATAATGCCAACTGCATAGTGATGTACAACACAAGGCTCTTTCTAAGTATTATAATTATGTTGGGGCTTTCTGAGGGAAGCTTCCGTGGCAGGGCGGGAATTTGCAGTGCACCACTACTTTGCATTCACTCCCAAGTGGATGCTCTTAGAGCATAGGAAATCACTTAGCTTGGCAGTGCAACTAAGGTTGGCAAATGTAGAGGGGATGCCAGAATGGAGGTCCCCAAGGAGTGCATGCTAGAGCAGCAGCAACAGCTTCTGCTACAGGAGCAGTGTCCTGTGTGTGGGAAGCTCTCACTGTGGTGGCATTAGCAGCAGCCCATGTTGTAGTAGTGGCTCACTTGCAGGCATGTAACACTCCAGGACACACCAGTGCTTGAAGAGTTTCTTAGTTATGCCTCTGGGGACTTCGTTTAATTTTAAAAAAATTGCTTGTTTTCCAAGTGGAGGAAGTTACCTTGCCTTGCTGTGCAATACCAGTGTGCAGGTGGGAAACTAGAGAGGTATACCTAGCGTACCCTAAACTTGCACTCTGATTCACTCAAATCTTATCACATAGACAAGTCCTTAGTTTAAAAAGGTTGACAAGCAATTTTCAATAAAATAAATATTCGAATTGTTTCTGGGTTTTAGCTTCTCTAGAACTAAATAGCATAAAGAATTTTGCTTATGACTTTAGCAGAGCCAGGGAGCCTCAAACTTTGAGGTGAATAGGAATCATTAAGATATATGCTTAGCTAACCTATGTAAACATGTTCAGGGCTTTTTTATGATCCTTACCTTTGTCATTCATTCACTGTTCCATTTTGTCATTTAACACACATTCTTATTGCATTTTTTGTAGATTAAATTCTTTCAGGCAGGGATCATATCTACCTGTGTGTTCATGCAGGGACAAAATCTTTTTCCATCTACGAGGTGCCTAAGTACAGTCCCATTTCACCTTGCTTGAATTTCTGAAAAACTTTTACCATGTATAATATAGTATGACATCACCTTAGTCTTAAGACAAGTTACAAAAAGCAATGAGGAGAAAGATCCATGTACCTCTTGCATTAACTATTTTCCACCTATTAAGAACTTACCTTGCTTC